CGGAAGGTTCGTGAGCATAGGACGCGGGATCGAACCACCCACATTTTTGCATTGCATAGCACCTTAACGATTTCGCTACACACACCCTTTACGTGAAATGGTACCAATCTAAAATGTCAATATACACAAAAAGCCATCATATCAATGTGTATCCTTTCATTGATAAGCCAAACTATTGTATGCTATTGAAAAATTTTAAACTTGAAAACTAAAACTCAATGAAGAAAATAAAAACAAGGAAAAAAGGACAGAATAAGTAAAAGTTATAAAAATAAACAAATGTCAAGAGAATTTATTTTAAAAGAACAACTTAATGATAATGGTAAAATGAGGATAATATGATACTAAAGGTATTACAATATGACATAATGTAACAACAAATAAAAGACAGTAGAAAATTAAGGTGAATGTAAATGTAACCATAAAACTGGCCAGGCTAAATTAGTATGTCATGGTCCACAATAGCGCGGTGTTTTCGATTATAGAACTATTTGGGTTATGAACTAAAAGGCAACTACGTTGAATGAGCTGATTTGTCCTCAGCAACTAAAGAAACGAGGAGAAGCAGCTTGAGCAACGATTTACTGCCGCACTTTGTATTGGAAGTACTTATTTATTTAGTTTTGTAAGTGTTATAGTGCTTTCATTACAGTATTCTTTGATTCCTTCAGTCTTCCGTATTCAGGAGATCAGGGAGAAATTCCATTTGCTAATGAATTGATGCCATCCACAGAGGGAATTCATTTAGATAGATTCGAAATAAATTACGTAAGACTGCCAGTACGACTATACAGGAAGTCTAACAAATGTGGAATGACACTGTGTGCGTGCATTGATTTCAATGCATCCGAAAATGGTTGCGCCAATCAACGTTTTGGTGAAAATCCCTAGAATGCGCCGATTTTTGTCGAAAGGACGCAGCTTTCTAAGTTTGATGAAATCCGGAAATGTTTCTTTTGGGCCTTGTTTCTCGATGTCGAACTGCGTATTTCAAACGATTAAGCGACGCGACAGTCGGGGTTCCATGTAGCGTCGACACGCTGAGTGGCTGTTGTGGCGACCGCGATTGCGTACAAAGTCGGGAAATACAAAATTCGTTTTCATTTTCTTCTAAATTTGATTTGTAGACAAGCTAGAATTGAGGATACTATTTCACCACAAAAATAAAGATAATTAGATAAAATATAGAGGGAATAGGGCTCTAGAAAATCTATTTCTAACACTAAAAGGTCTTACAGTGACAATTCAATGATTATTCCAGGGGCCCTCTATGGTCTCAGGTTCTTCATTGTCCTAGCTATCGAAATTAGTGGTGAACTGCAGAAAAACCGTCTTCTCCGGTATTCTGCTAGAAAAAGAGCACTCTCGAAGTCAGCCTTTCCATATGAATCAGATTTCGAATATTCCAATGCCGTTGTAACCAATTTTTCTGTCCCTGTTCCTCCTCTTTCATATCTCTCCAGTCATACTTCGCATTTCTTTCAACAGTTTTGCACCTACTGTTCACTTATAAGCTCCATGTAAAGTCAATATGCAAAACCAAGTTACTTTTTCTTCTTTTCGTACTGATCTTGCAAGACAGTGCTTGCATCATCATGCTGTTATCATCTCTTTCATCATTATGCTGTTATCACCTCTGTGACATCATTCACGTGACTCCCCGGTCTTAGACGGGCTCCGTCCGAGGCCGACTACGTCAGATTCTGACGCGCGACACCGTCGACGCGGCGCTACGGGCGGCGTCGAGTGCGGCGGCTCCGACGTCGTCCCGCTCTTTTCATTGATTGTCGGATTTCGCCGCGTCGCGACGGCGCTCCTCGTCGCGCGACTCGTACCTAGGGTCCTGGCGTGCTCCATGGTGTAGTAGTTCATTTGCCCTCAACTCGTTGTCATGCTAACCCTCTAGACATTGTTAGTTCGTGATTTCAGGAAATTTGCTTTCTTTCAGTCATATTTCAAGCGATATGTCCCTATGATTGCGCAATTATGACGACGAAAAGGCGAAAACTTCGCGATGTAGCGTCTTACGTTAAGTTCTGGTCACCGTCTCGATATTATCGGCGGAACTCGCCTAGCTTGAGGTTAGCGAGGTCTTTTACTCACTAGTTTGATTATTTTATTCCAAAATAACTCGTCGTGTGAGTCTGTTGTACTGGTTTCATAACGATGTTGTCGTGCTTCGGGTTCGAATTGATTCTATCGAACTTATTTCCTCACTGTTGCTTTCCGATTTGGATAAAGATGGACTAGATCTGTAGCTTTATGCAAAATTAGTACGTCTTAGTCGTCTGCTAAGCTTATATATCTGTACGTGATATTTATCATTTACCGAAAACATGATTTGGATACTTGGATGGCCCGTCTCCACTAGTTGTGCTGGCCGCAGCATAATCTCAATTTTTCGGAGATTTCCTGGTTAAGCCACTGTGGTTTCCTCGCATACCGAGGTCAGCCTGGCCAAAGTCTGCCCCAGGTCGTCACCACCACAGGCAGACGCCATCTTTGTGGATCAAAGTGAGACTTGCCGCCATGTAACTTTGATACCAGACGGTGGTTAATCCCGGTATTGGTTCCAAGAACATCTGGCTTTAAAATATAGCAATCTTCGGTACTTTTTAATATGAGGTAGGTAAGTGGTGTAATATGTTATTGCCATTACAGTCTAATCCGTTTTTTCCTCCCATCAAACAATGTACGGTACTTTTTTCAGGTTTCTTAGTGATAACAACGTCACCTTGATTTCTGCACTTATACTGTTCTTATGTGTAAGTTTCTATCTTTTTTGTTGTTTATGTTTTTTCGTATACATAAGGATATGAAGGTTTTCAAGCTACGGGGTCTTCTGTTAACAGCGATGTTCTGGCTTCGTTGTTGTAGCCCGCGTTCGATATTGTAGCTAGAACCACCACATGAATTCGTTTTTAAAACAGTAACATTTATTAGTCGTTTTTTTTTCATAGTGGCTAGAATTATAGCAATAATGGGTGACAAATTACATAGTGAACAATTCACCCGGCGAAATCATAAGATATGCCGGAAATTCCACTTTGTAGCTGCGTCTTGCTCCCGACTATGTTTTTAAAGCTAACACTACATGTATTTAGGAAAATCACAAACTCTATCCGTAAATTGGGTCAATATGCTGTTGATTTCTGGCGTACACTCTAGCTTCCAAAGCAGTACATCATAGTGGATTTTTTTGATGGTAGTGAATTGTGCTATGGTTGCAGCTCTATAACCATTCCCTCTACCAACATGGTGTTCTTTATACATCACGGTAGGAGTTTGGAAAGCAATACGAATGACTACGACTGCAAAATTTGTTCGTGGTTACTTATTCAAACATCTCGCAACATTTTGTAGTGAGAAATTTTGCTTTATCTGTGAATTACTGAAGTTTCTGTCTTCACCTGAGGAAAACATACGGGTCATCTATGATGAACGCATTTTGGATGGAATTATTTCCTACTTAAGTACTGAAAGGGGCGACACAACTATACGATGTTGAACGTAGTAAGGATTCACTAAAGAGTCCCTTAAGTGGAAGAAGTACATGTTTTTAGCTCACATGAACTAGCTTTGTCTCCGATTTTAAAGTTTATGTGGGTCACGATACGACAGTGGCAGGTGTTACTATGTTCGACGCAGGCTACCACCATTGATCAGAACTCACTGGATTGAACTATTGAAGATCTTATTCTTATCCCTAACACTATTAATAGCCGATTGACTTGTGTATAGAACAGTTTCGCTGCCTTTTCGTCTCCTTTTTGCTTAGTAAGTGATTGTTCTACGTTTTGATCACCGGAGTAGTGTGGCAAGCACTACAATTCTACTTCAGAGTCTCCACAAAGAAGTCTGATTAACGTGGTCAGTTTTTTCAATAGAATCCACCTAGATCCAAGTATATCTTATTTGTTAGAATCCACTCTTCATGATTTTGCCGTCATTTGGTTGCCGATTTTCCACTGAATCGATGAGCAGGACACAATCCGCACGCCCACACACAACCGAATCCTTGCACACATGTATAAATACGATGGCTCGTATTCAAAAAGTGCAAACCGATCGAGCGCATCAAAAACGGAGTTTACTTTTTGTCCTGTGTACCTCTCAGGAAGAGTGAACGGTTGTTTTTTTTGGGGAAGCGAGTATTCCACGTTTCTTGTGAAACGATGGCGGTATCGCTCATTGCAAGCCGTCGAGCTACAGCACACATTCCTGAGCTAATCAATTCAGAAGTTTGTTCATATATCGCACAGTTGTAGTGTAAGACATCTAGTAATCTCTTGTTTTTGGAGTTAGGAGCTTTTTATAGGTAGCATTTGAGGACTGTTTTCTTTATTAGTTCATTCTTAATGCATCATGCTTAGAAAGATTTATACAAGCAGAAACTTAGCAAGATAATGTGTCTTTCGTCGTTAGTCTTTCCACCCGCTTTTTGGGTGGTGTTTTTAATGAAGCCGTAGGTACGTCCTGAATACATGAAGTTCATTTCCACTCCTAACTCGCGGTTTCAATTTTTTTTCTGTTGTTTCGTGTAAACCGACTGTTTACCACTCACATCACAGTTATTCTAAGACGTGTCATAGGGGATATATTTAACAATACCGGTGTTTTATGTGAATCACTCGTTGATCTAGTCTTGGTTTTTCATGACTTCGCTATGCATTGAAGTCGCATGCATGAACCTTTAGCCTCAGCAAACGACCACTCTCCGTTCTATGTGTTTTCCTCTTATACCTGATTCTCCACGTATTTTGCTCATTTCTACGGCTTTGTGTTTTCTACGTATTCTACATGTTCTTCTCTATTGTTGTTTTTAGAAAGTATCTAACTCTTAAGCGTGATGAAACAAAAATTGCCCATCCTTCAAGTATATTTCTTTTCGCCTTTCTTAAAGCTTCCTTAGATGTTCAAAGCATATTTTGGTGTCTTTTTATGTTTCTTCATGTACCTGATTCAATAAGACGACAATGATTCATCATAACGATTTCTAGTTGAAGGTCAGTCAATTACTGGGTAGAAAGTTGGATTGTAAAAGAAGGAGAAAATTGAGTCATTCTTGTAACACAGAAATCGGTCTTCTTTTTATATTGAGTGCTCAACAAGTGTCAGCTGATAGAACCTCTCATACTAGTCGTCTGCGATGAATCTTAACGATTAGATATTATGAAATATGTTGGTCGTTAGGTTTTCAGTGATAATCTATTTGGAGTGGACCCAATGCTTCTGTTTAAATGCACAAAGTGATATTTTGATGGGTTGTTTATAGCTAATTTAGCGAAGTTCTTGTACAAGAGATCCATAGATATAGATAAAGGAAGAATGAGGAAGGATGAGTCACTGTAACCGACAACAGTTTAGAGGATGAAAACTGACACACTTGTGTAGAATTGTACATTGAAGAGGTTGTGTAGTGTTATTACTGTAAATAGAATGTAAAAAGTGTTAATTATGACGGTTGTAGTTTGTCATATGAACGCTTCTAAGTGCAAGGTTTAGATCATTGGTGATATGTTGTGGGATCATTTCCAAAGATACATAGTACACACGCATTGAATACGTAAATGCATGGTTGCTCATTGCTTCCATCCCAAGTGTGTTATATACGACAAGCACATGCAACTTCTCTCAATGACTCGCTATGTTATCACAACTATGCAGTGTCTCTCTAGATTTAGACCTTCATTGTTCTAATACAGCAGAGATGTTAGTACCGGTTCCTGGACCAAACTCAAGCCGAAAAATAGAGAACATCTTTCCATGGATTACGCATGATTCAGTATCACTGTTTCATAGGCACTCAAAAATGCTAAGGAGAGGAAACTTTTCTGAGAAACAAACTGGTGGGGAGTATCTAATCGAAATTGATGTATTTGATCCACTCTGCCTTCGTGTATGCAGTGATATGGACAAGCACAGTTACGTATATGTTGAATTACGTGTATTTTAGGCTAAATCTTCGGAAGCTTTGCCAGAGCAGCGCTGTGGAACCTTGGATATACGAAATCATCCTAATCAAGGCTACAAACTTGCTGGACACAAGTCTGTATCAAGTACTCATGTGTAAGTTACTTATGAGGGTTTTTAAGTGTAGGTATCTCTATGGAAATCGTATCTTTAGGAACTGTAGTGTACTAGAGGGTTCATTGGTATTGTCACTAATTCAAAATTCTAATGTGACCGAGGCGGACTTTCCCACTTTCCATTATCTACGAGAAATAACAGGCTCCTTGTTAATTTTTCATGTCAGGTCAGTATTCTGTTTAGGTTTTTCTTTTCTATTTGAAGTATGTTTCTTAGAGTGCTTTTGCTAATTTTTTTATGTGTTACTTTTACTAACTTATCACAAAACTCCTGTTATTCTTCAACTTTTCATTAAGTGTGCTTAGATCAGCTTCACTTAGCTTAATCAGATTGTTGTCGTTCTTGGTAGTGTGTCATCCAGTGAAGTTACTGATTTTGAAAGTCTCATCTCCATCGTGAACATTTGTTGTACCGTGTGTTCCTGGACAATTCTCTTACGAAATACATCGCTGTATATTGCGAGCAGTTTCCGTTGTCCTATTTCCATGTTCCAGTTTGTGCAAAGATGACCATTTTTTCCGGTCATTCTTCTCACTTTCACATCAACGGCTTGAAATGCACTAAAATTAATATTAAATTTAAAAAGAAAGGTTGGTATTTTAGAGTGAGCTTTACAATCTAAAGTAGCGTATTATACAAACATGAAGGCTTAAAAGATTTGTTTGGAAGCAGTGTCAAAATTTTGTGGGACAAGACCGACGTCGTTTAGGTTACCACCTTGTAAAATTATGTCCGATTTAAGCTTGCTAGTATTTTTGTAATGGTGAAAGAAGTGGTTTTCTCAAGTTCTTTGTTTAACAAACACTCTTCTTCTTGACTAGACAAAATTATTGACTAAAAAAGTCTTTTTTTTACGGAGCGTGAAGCACTTAAATACACTCCAAAAACTGGTTATTCTTGGGAAAACGGACGGTGCCAGTAGTAATTACAGTTTCTTTTTCCAAACTGCCCCTAGATTACACGTTTCTGTCCACTAGTTTTTTAAGAAGCGGTTAGCACAGTGGTAGTGATGTCGACCATTACAAGCACGGTGCTTGTTCGATCCTGCCGTGGCTCACTAAGCCTCATCCCTCCGTGCTCGGGAAATTGGCACTGGACTTGTCCAGGGAAAAAACTGCTCTGCAGTCCGCTTGGGAACGCTCCAATCCGGCTATCTCAGGAGTCCAGGGAGAATCGACTCGACCAGCATTCTACGGCGTTCAAGATGAAATGAAAAATCTTCAATTAGCGGCCGAACCGAAGCCAAACGTAAAAAGTTGGAAGACGTTCGTGGATGATGGATGTGAGGAAATGAATCGAATGTGAGAGGTGCTTGGATCCGCATAGTAGGCGTGAAGAATGGTCGCATGAAATAAAGTTTTAAAAAAATCAACGAGTTTATCAAATGATTATTTATTACGAGTAGATGTATTTTTCTTGTCATATGCTACAAAGGACTTTCTTCTTGTTTCTTCTGAGGAAAGAAGGTGAGGCGTAGAGAGAGATTGAATGTTGGTGATAATAGTGACAGTAATAGATTGAACTGTGTTTCTTTCTTTTTGTACTGCAAAGACGGTGATGTTGTGTTTCTTATGGAGTTATTGGTAATATTGGTGATTCAAGTAGAATTAAAGGATCTCCTTTACGAGGCAGAATATAATCTACATAAAAACGTCTAATAAAAATAAGAAATACCGGGAAAAATTTGCATTTGATTGTTCCATATGCTATTTTAGACAAATAAATTGCAGGAAGTTGACCACATTGTCGCGAATTTTTCCGAATCTTCGAATCGTCGGAGGTCAAAACCTCATTCAGCATTTTTCCTTGATTATTTATCAGAACGAAGACCTTATCGATGTGAGTTGCGAAGTTGTCTCTTTCTTTATCACAGTAATTGTGAAAATACCTATAGTACATTTTTTTTCGAAGTCATGTACATATATATATGTGTATACATATGTATATGTGTATATATACATGTATATATATATATATCTGTATATATATGTCAACTACTAAACCCAATAAAGTGATTGGGCTTCACTTCCCTGACTCCGAAAGAGCCTCTGATACGGCAGCATTTGCTTTGCTAGGACGAGCACGAAAATGCTGCGAGAATCTCAGCCATTCTAGGCTGCATAAATCTCGAAGGACTATGGTGACAATTTGTACCTACGATGAACGTCCACCTGCATCTTAGTTCTCCATAGAGGCCCTGATAATGCGGACTGTTAAGATAAGGCACGACGTCATCGGGCTGTATGAGACGAGAAGAAGCAGTCCATTCAGCGCTTTCTTTGATGCCAAAGAAGTGTTCCTCGAAACATACGGCAATAGAGGAGTCGGCTGCGTCCACTAATAACCCGAGTCGGAGGTTTACGGTTGAAGAGATGTGGATCAATACCGGCTTTCACATTCTTTGTCGTTTGTGCACTAACATGAAGGTACGACGAAAGCGAAGTCAAAGCGTTCTATATGGACTTGGAGAGGTTCTACATACATTCTTCAAAGTTATCCTTTAAGATTTTAACGCTATGATTGGACCCAGAAGAACGTTTGAAGAAGATCATATATAGCGAATCCTCGGATAAGAATGGCACGGCCAGGTTAAGCGGCTGTCTGAGCTTACCATAACGGCCACTACCATTTATGCTAATCGCGAATACAGAAGCCCCAGGTTAGGTTTTGCGCGTCGGATTCTCTCAATGTAGAGTACCAGGACGAAATAGATCACATCATGGTAGATCGGTTTTGCTTGTTCAACACGAGAGTAGACCGTCGCTTCCTTCGCAGGAGATTTCATTTTCTCAGAAACAAGAGAAACCGCTAAGTTTGAACGACGGACCAGCAGAAAAAAAACAACCATAAACTGGGATTTATTCAGACCATTAATAGGCTCTGGGGAGGTGTCGTTATTGATGACGAGGAGTGCAACGAGCTCACTCAACGTTACCATGTTTTCGCTATGAAAGCTGAGAGTTCTGAAATCGCCAAGAGACGTCTGTCTGCAGAAATACTCCAGCTGATACGCTAGCATGGAATCGCATGAGCTATAGACAACTAACGTTAGAACTTGCGAAACAAAACGAACAAGTGATAAAAAAAAGATCTTAAAGAGAGAGGAGCGGCGGTTATGATCTAAGCTGCATAAGCAGGGAAATGAATTCGCAAAATTCACCAAAATTTCGCCATTTATAAAAGAAAGATGATTGCCAGACGGAACAACTACAGTTTCCAGAAAGGCGATAAAGAAAATCATTAACGACCATTACACAGATCTCTTCAGTAGCCACCTATTTCTGCCCTCTTATGAAATAAAGGAGGATTGGTATGTCGTCCCACTGCTCCACCCTTACCAAATCCAACGTGCTACTTCGTAGGTGGAGAATTGAACAGTACCAGGTGCGGACAGGATAAGATCTGGACATCTGAAGAACGTTCCACTAGTCTTCATGAACACACTAACCAGGTTGTTCACACGTTACGCGTCGAAATGCAAGGTTTTTATTCAGTGGGAGACTAGCAAAGCTGTTGTTGTTCACAGTGGGCGACCTCCAGTTCACAGTTGGTAGGTTATCAACCTATCGTCGGCCCAGCAAATGTACTTTGTAAGAATATGTATGCAAATATCGATTATTTGTGTCGAGGTTTATAGAAAGTCGATTTCGTAATGCTAGGACCGTAATTTATCGATCAAATGAGGTAGGAGATTTGAAACTCCGAACTAAATCAACGACCATGAATAAAAGACGTTGCTCTACACCCCAAATTGTCGAAGGCAAGGTGTTTCAGGCACGTAATGCATCTGAATAACAACCGATGGACAAGAGCCGTTAGTGACTGGATTCCTCGGGATGTCAAACGTACTGCAGGAAGGCCATCAACCCGATGTTCAGAGTTCTTCACGAAAACCCTTGAAGAAAGATATGATGCTCAGCGAAGCCTAAGCGCGAACTGCACTCATTGTACTACTCTAGTACCAAGAAGGAGAAGTGGAAGGTTTACTGTCGCTAGCTCGAATGACTCGACGATCATTGGGACTACAGATGGCGCATGCAGCATGCGTATATATATATATATATATATATATATATGTGTATACACGCATGCATACATGTACATATATATATATATAATGTAATGATATATACGTCCATGTATGTGTATATACATGTATATTCATATGTGTATACGTGGCAGTTTGCGTTAATTGTAAATTTCGGATGTAGATGTTTCGTGGGATATCGTTATTATAAGTTCACAATTTTTTTTTGACAAAAGGAAATCCTAGTTTCAGATTGGGCTTTCAAAATTACGTCTCATTCGTAATGGAGGAGTTCGTATTGCTGAAAATAACAAGATGTGTTATTCGAGGTACATTGACTGGAAGCATCTCATGGCTGGACCTCTTAATGATATCCTCGTCGATGATGCAGTTGAAATAGGTGTTGGAGAGGGAAAAATTCGTCAGTTTTTCTAATCATTGGGAATACGATTTTTTATTAACATTTAGTAAGCTTGCGTGTTTAAGACTATTGATACGGTATTACATTAACCCATAACGTCCGGTTTTGAGGCTATAGCGTCCAGTTTCAGTTTGGTGCGTTCTGTAATTTTTTTTCCTGCACTGTCTATATTCATTCGTTAGCTGACGAAAAGCGGATCAAAATAGTAGGCGTGAAAGCAGAAAAGCCGTTCCTTACACCTAATGATTTGCAAAACGCCGTTTTTTTGAAAGGGTTTGTTGGTCGGTAATTTGACCAACAATTTACTGTTATTCCATTTTAATCGCTTTGGTAAACTATGGTTATTGCATGGATTGTGCAAATATAAAAAACACCGAATTGTACTCGACGTAAGTTGCAAAAAACTTCCGTGTGCTGGCAACAACGTATTTGTATAATCGATCATAGTAAAACACAGATAAATTAAAGGTGAACAAAATTAACACTTTAAAACAGGTGAAGCATAGCAACTGGTGGCATGCGTATCGTATATACCCCATAGAACGACAGGGAAATGTTAATTCTACAATCCCATCACGTTTATAACCCCTCAAGCACTTTATTCAAAAGTTTTTATTATGAAAAAACCTGTGTATTCGAAACAGACCAAGAACGTGTTCCATGCGGAGGGCCACGCTAAGCGGGGCATATCCGTTATGGCTTAACGTGACATCAGGTTCTCAGTGAAGCGTGGTTTTCCACTGTGCACGGTGCGCATTGAAATTAATGGGCTTGTTCATGAAAGGGTTAACAGTCTAGTGCTATTTCATCAAGGGAAGGATAGTTTATGAAGAGTTCCTTTATTTTTAATCTGATTATTCTGTGGTCTAAATTTACTGTCGGAATTTCGAATTGGACTCGACGTAGGTTGCAAAAAATATTTAAAAAACTCACATCAAAGAAAGTTCCTTGAAGAGTCACTTTACGAACTCTTAAATTCTATATTTTCCATTTACAGGAGGCTTTAAATTAATTGTAGATGGTTGGTACTGAACCACTAAGAACTTTTTTTGACACCTCAAAGAAAGTCCCTTGATTCTACATGCATTTTATTTAGTAAGGTCTATCATTATTAGCTACAAAAACTGTACTAATAAGGGATAATATTAACTTGCTCGTTTGGATCTGCTTCACTAACTCTGCGGGTACAATTCCCATTCATTTCCTTCTGATGTAATCGTCGTCCGTAATAATGGCCTTGTTCAAGCATGTTGGCGTTCTACGAATCCGGTTGATTGATCAAACCTTTCTTACCACCCATTCGTCGTGAACTTCTCTATATGTAGCCGGTCAATCTGTTATTGTCTTTCGAAGTGAAAGTTCGCTCGAGATCGTATGGCTTTAGAAGGGGAACTATGCAGTCTGACTAAATGTTTTATGTGGCAACTGTTTCAGAACACATCGTTCAGGAAGTCCTTCAGTGCGCTTTTCGTAGTCCTGGGTCCGGTATTCTTCGTTTTATAAGCCACGAAGAGAAGTGTTTTCCAGCGTTGACCTTATCCGTGAGCTGTCTATCTCGTGTTTAGAAGATGACAAATGTTATTTTCGGTCTTACAACGGGATAGAGTTTTCGCTGTTATCGAATCCGGTATGTGTGGATGACGATGTAGAGGTACATTTCAGCTCATTTATGCCTTTAGGCTGTTTTTATGTGGCATCTGATTTCACTCAGAAAAGCAACTTTTTGAAAAAAAAGGTCTTGTGTTTAAGAGTCCACGAGACGGTTTTCACCTTTATTTTAGTTTCCCTTGCCGAACTTGCCGATCCTTTATTTGTTTTCTTTATTGACTCCTCCCATTTCTAAATCTATAGAATGCTGTTTAATTAGTGTTAGTCTTATAAATTGATAGTACAATGCATCTAATTCGCTCTCTTTAGCGACACAGGTGAACAAACTCCATGTCGTTGACAATTGTTAATCGAATTTTCGTGAAGGGATGTTTTACCCACTGATAGCTCTTAGTTGGTCTACGTTGGCCTTCTTGCGTTTTGTCACAGGGAGTGTCGTCACGTTTTGATTAGATGTAATATGCGACCACTGATAGAGCATGAAGACTGGCTTCTGAATAGAGTTCTAGTGTTGTGTGTAGAACACAAGCACTCTTAATAATGTGTCGTCAACATGTTGTTTGTAATGATATCTTATGCAAACCGAGATTTAATCGCCTTCTTTCACTTCGATACGTACGGAAGCAGCTAGTATGTGGAGCGATAAGAAATTGGTTTTTCCTTAGGGTTACGGAAAACAGCAAATACAAAAGTGGCATAGCTGGAGCATTCCAGGGTCATCGTAACAGTCAGTTGACGAACCCTATGGGTCAATGGGAGATTTTCCACCTCGCTACTAGCTTGATACCAAGTCTCCAGGTTATTCCGAGCGCATACATACTTTCCATTCGGCTTGTGGATGGAGACACAAAGAAAAATTATGTAAAATTAGTGCGATGTTAATAAGTTTCATTGTCTTTTTCTTCGAAAACTCTGCGCTTTATAATTAATTAGTAGACTATTGCCAGTTTTATTCATTTTAACATTCAGTGTCGTGCACTGATGACTGTGAGGTGGAAAATGAATCGAAATGTCGACGTGTTTCACATCAACGTGGAGAACAACTATCGTGCTGGAACAAGGTTACTTGTCAGGAAGGTGAGTCCAATGCCGATTTGTGCTTCCTAAATCGATCCCCTTTGGCGGGTGAATACCGGTAGCACCTATAGGTTAATAACACGGTTGAAAGGTTAAACGAAGGATTCGCATGGGGTGGTGATGAGAGCGTTAGCCCCCGGAAAGGATGATAGCGCGTTCGTTCTCCACCGCAGACATCTGCGGTCCGGAGTTTTGCAAATATCTCATCTTCATTATGATTATATTTCACATTATACCCTGCCATTAAAGAAGAGTAAGCGGTAAGTAAAAAGTGGCGACATTATGATATATCTCAGCGTTATTATGGTTACGTTTCACATAATACCCTGCTATTAAAAAAGGGTAGACAGTAAATAAAAAGTGACGTCAAGCCATATCGTACTGTATTTATGTAGGTCTGTTGGTTTAGTATTCACTCATGGTTTATGGAGTTCATACTTTAGAAGTGTCACATAAATATTCTGCACTTTCCATTCCAGATTGCCCTTTCGATCGCATCAATGGTAGCATAGGACCTGGATGCGCGGATTCGAACGGTGCGCGATGTCATGATCAATGCGTGGCTGGATGCACTGTACCAGACGATGAGAAAGCATGTTACGGCTGTTTACACTATAACCACGACGTAAGTTTCTTGTCTTGCAAAAGGTGTTTTTCTGGACTGAATATGATAATTGGAAGGCTTTTGAAACCGCTCCAGTGTACTTGTCGCTGTTGGAATCTACTCATTTCGTGACCTCTTTTTCCTGCTTGTAGCAGACGACGTATATTGGTTTCAAGTCATGCATGACTGGAACTGGTTGCGTCTCACATCTTAAGCAAACGTCTCTGCTCAGGCGAACTTTGTCGGCTGAAATAAAAATCTTTGTAATCTACAATTCTTCCCTTCACAATACAGGTTTTGTTATCGCAACGCGTTGAGTTTTTGAGGCTATGGAGCCACACGCCTTATTTCTTGCTTATTTTTCTACTTCGAGGCTTGTATATTGGTTCAACAAGCAGGTGTTCGTCCTGATTTCGTTGATATATCCGTGTATCGCCGATGTTTGCGGTCATTACTATTGAATCATAGTTTATGAATTCGAATTTGTGTTTCAGTTTTTGAAAATTGGCACTATAAACAGGTTTAAGTGAGGATAACCTTCTGGAAGTTCGGTGTAGTAAACTGTCCTCTATGACAAGTTCTCAATTCTTCAAGTATATTATTAGTTGGGAACTACTTGAGAACTTCCTAAAATTACATTTCGTTGCGTGAGTACCAAATATTGGCAGAAATATTAGTTTCAAGTGGTGAAAAACCGTCTGAACTTCTGAAAAACTATACGTGGCGAGAGCGCCTAATTCTAGCGAATTGAAGGCGCTCAGCATGGCTCTCTTATGTTTGGAAGGAGAATCACCGAAACACCTTTGTGTAGGGAAGGTAGAAGGATAGAACGAAACGGGTGAATTGGAAGAAGTGTTGGTATTTGCACGTGAATTTGTTAACACCAGAGATACGGAGGACTTGCTTTTTTTGAGGAACCCGACCAATTGAAGACGTTTGTGTTTTACAGAGCAACACTAGTTACTTAGTTACAAGCGTCTTCGTGAGGCGGATTATGTGAAAAAAGTATGAAGATATAAGTCATTCTGAAGTCCTTTCCTTAAATAAGTGCGTTGTTCTGCTTAATGTATGAAGACAGATCGTATAAAATGAAATGACAGTGAAATTCTTCCCTATTGTTCCGAATATAAATGTGTATATACATGTATATACACGTGTACATACTGATACGTATATACAGTAGTGCATATATATGCATATATATATATATATATATACATATATTCATACACACATGTATGCGTCTCCACGTAAGTATGCGATTATTTGAACAAAAACAATATTCGTTTGATTTAGGGTGCTTGCATTGAAAAATGTCCGGCTCACTTATTCGTATACCTGAACCGACGTTGTATCACAGAAGCAGAGTGCGATGCGTAAGCATGTTGCTATTGTATTATAGTTGTTACTAGTCTTCTTTTTGTGATAAAGCTCTAGATTGGTTGACAAGGGATAAGGACGAAAACATGATGGAGCAATTTCTTGACTGTATTCTACGGAAACAACCAGATTTTGAAATCGACGAAACACATTAATTGTTGTCGACGTAGTAGATTTCTTATGTTTTACTACATGGAATCCTTGTCTGATAACCAAACGTAAACTGCCACCGTCTAATTTGCAGCATGTCGACCCTCCGGGGTGGAAAAGATGTGTACAAGCCGGCAAACGGAGTTTGCTCAACGATTTGTCCTGAAGGCCTGGAAGAAGGCAAGTCAATAGCTTTTTTTCTGCTCCAGATAATTCCACTAAAATCAACGTCATTTTGTTTAGATCCATTAAACAAGAAGCGATGTCGAAAATGCGCGGGAGAATGTGTTCGCAAATGCCCTGGAAATATCACTATTGAAAGCATGTCAAAGGTTTTCTCCAAAAAACTTCTTTTGTGTTGTTATTTAGTTGGTCTTAAGGTCTGAAGTAATATACAGAACATATTTGTGTGACTTCTACTTTTTTTTTGTAATCCCTGGCTTCACATTTCACGGGCTATATATTTTATTTTTCTTGTATTTCACTTATGCATATATACATATACATATATGAGTACATATATACATATATATATATATATATATACGTATATATGTGTATAATACATGAGATATTGTTCATTGAAGGCTATTCTAGGCCATGCAACTGAAGCACTGCAGTGTGATTGAAGGTTATTTGGAGATTGAAATGAGAGTTGGCATGAGTACTGTAGCAGCATCTCAACTTACTGATGTCTTTGGAAAAATCACAACCATAGACGGGTAAGGTTTTCGCTATTTTAGCGTCTTATATTCTGAAAAATTGACATGTTGCCATATTTTTTATTAACAAGAAAATAAATATTGGTGACCATCGTATTTCTTAGTGCTTTCTAGTTATTAAGTTCTGATACATTCATGAGCTAAAGTTTCTGCTTGTTTAGTAAGTCTAATTATAGTTTTAATTTCGTTGCAAAGTGTGGTTTCTGGTAAAGTAATTGGTTATGGTTGATTCCTATTCTACTGCTTTCGAAAACTGTGGAGCTGCACAAAAAAGTTCTAATTTTTCAGCTATTTTGTTGTTCGGCTTTCACCTTCGTTTGTAAACTTGCACATGTTTCGGAGTCTAACTCGGATCACTGGTCGATCACTCTATCGCGATAAGTGGGTTAAACATGGTTATAGAGAACATCTGCTTAGAATAGTTCCCGGTCATCATGAAACAGAGTGTTTCTGTCTTTCATGTCCTTACAAACGGCACTCAATTCGACGCTCTACACTGCTTAGTGTATTACAGCCTCAGGGTCTTACAGATTTGCTCATGTTAATTTCAGATATGCTTTGAGCATTTTTGAGAATTCGAATCTGCAAAAGCTTTTTACCCCTGAAAATCGGCTAACTATTGGCAATGGTTCTGTGCAGGTACTGACTTGAACAGTTATTAAAGTTGGGTTCAGCTATTTTTTGTAATTTTTGTTTTTTTCACTGAACTCGTATATTTCAGTTTCAAAACAATCGTATGTTATGCTACTTTCGCATCAGAGAACTGATGATACGTCTTGGACGTGAGCATGAAATGACCGAAGAGGATCAGAATCTTAGCTATTACAGTAATGGAGATAAAGCAATATGTAAGTCAATTTTTAAGTTTATTTCTTGGCCCCTTTCACGTGGTAATATCGGTGCCATACCGAATTAGATCTATCGAGCCTTTTTTTTTTCGAGAACAAAGTGCTTCTATTTCTGAGTCATCTAAAAAAATATTTTGTGAATTAAAAATGGAGAGGTTGTGCTCTTTAACTATTTCACAGGAAAGTCCATTTTTCGGTAACTGACCGTAATCGCTTGATCAGTGCAGTATTTTAGGAGTTCAGAACATTATAAATATATAGAAGAAACTTTGTCGCAGTAGTCATGTACAGAATTTTAATGCAGTGCTTAAAATTAAACATCTAGAATTTACTTTCAAAAAGTTGGTAACGAAACTTATGTTTTCAAAGTTTCGAATGCAAAAGTGCTGACTGCAAACATAGATGACACATTAGAGAAAATCATCTTATCCTATTGATCAAAAGCAAAGAAGCATCTTAACCTTTTGCTAAATTTTTTTAATGTTCGAAATATGGGACTTCGAGCAATAACATGAGCGAAATACGTGTCATAACCATATGAAAATCAAAACTCCGACTAGGTAAAAGCAGAGAACATTTCTCCTGTAGGGAAAGATTTACAGATTGTAACAGCTTTTATTTCAATTGTTAGTTTCCTATGATGAACTGAAATTCGTTGCTCGAAAATCGAAAACGACCATTATTTTCGTTTCGAATGACTCCTGTGGTGGTCAAACCGTAGATACGTTTTAAAAGGACAACATTATGATCTACTGTTAAAGTTTTGCCTATATGAGTAATATTCAAGTTTTGCGTTCGTCAAAACTTTTTGTTCCATGTTTCGTTTTAAAGCAGTGATAAATTTTGAATTCTTGAAAGAGGACAAAGTCGTTGTGCTTAGTTATTTAATCTTGCTGACAGTGTCGAACTAAGATCGTGTTTCTTACACATAGCTTCTAGCAGCACTAAATCTCAAACTACGGTAGATCAAACCTTTATAGTTAAATTGTTACAGTATAGTAGTACTACGGCTGAGAAATTTGTAGAGGTTAAACAAGAATTAAAACGAATCATACAAATGAGCTGGATATTTGTTAGGCGTAGAGAAGTATAATGGATTTGTCTAGAGCGGAAACATATTGTCAATAATACCACCTACATATAGTTATACAAATGTTTATTCGTATTGTCGTAATCGATCCGATCCACTCAGGTGAAGAGTCGTCGTTTAACCTCACCGTTGTGGAAAGTGCTGTGTCGCAAACTGCCTTCACTCTGCGCTGGCCTGCTCTTGACACATCCGACATCGATCATAGGAAATTTTTAGGCTACGATGTAAGTGAATTAAAGAGTAGTTTTGGGCGTCGAGAAATGCTCAAGTAATTGCTCGTCTTGATACTTCTACCCCATTCCTTAGATTCCGATGTTTCCCATTTGTTCTTATTGGTCACCGTTGATCAATAGTGACGTGGTGGCTAAGGTGATTTTTAGAACTCCTCCAATTCTGTGTAGATATAAAACCTCGATCTAACTTTCCTCGTACCTTAATGCTTAGACATAAGCGGCAAGTGCTGCGAAAAACGGTTTTGATCTAACCCTTTTCAACCTTGACTTGCTAAAGAGAGGTGATTTTTATGACAAAACTCACGTCGATGATGAAAACAGCTGCGTATACGCTTATACCATCCACATTTTCGCTGGGAAGAGTTATTTGTAATATTTCGACATCATAGCGTATGACACGCGTTTCCGCCAGTCTAATTAAATATTTGGTCTTCTTATTCTCCATCATATGATCCTGAGTGAAGGATTACGATGCCATAAGAGCGTTGTGAGCAAGGTGATCAATATAGCTCTCCTAGACTTAGGCAGCCTAGAATGGACCCGAAGTTGCTAACATCTTTGCATTTGTTTTTAATAGAATAACAGGTCCTTATATACTCATAGTGAACCGTTTGGGAAGTTGTTTAATTCTTAAAATGACTTTCTAACTGATTATAGTATATGTCTCATTCCCAACTTTTTGTGTTGTGATAAAGCTTAAAATTAACATAGTATTCTGGAAATGATTTGTTTCAAAAACTCTGGTGGATGTAATTGATTTGTTTGGATCTTTTTTAACGTAAGTTTCCCTCGTAATCCCGTTAATCCCCGAGCAAGTCGAAGAGGCACCGTATTCCTTCATTGAGTGGGACCGCCACGAAAGTTCTTGCTTACCGAGAGACAAAGGGTGACTTGTCTCGAATTTCTCAATGATGCTAAGGACTAAGGGTGTACAAATGGCATATTATGTAGGTAAACGTAGAACTCGACCAAGTGAAATAATTATTCTCAATAGTTATTATTCCCAAAATTGATCAGATTTTCGTCGTATCATATAAAAAACTTCTGTTAATTGGCTGTTTTATTGCACAAGTCACATTTTCTACAGTTATGGTTTTTGAATGATTTGCTCAAGGTTTATTTAGATTCTCTACAAAGAGGTGGCATGGGAAGATCCAAACCTGTCTATTGACGATGACAGATCGTCTTGTCAGGATACCGATTCTTGGTATTACCACTTTGAAGGGGTAGGTACAATAGAAATGAACATGGTTTTGAATAGAAAAGAACACCTATGGTTTATTGCGTTTTCCAGGTAAACGACAACGTTGAACACATCAATGGTGCCGGTCCGGAATACGTTACTGCCATGATAGGAAATAGCCATATCAAACCCCACACATTGTATGTTTTGAACCTTTTCGACATAACCTCAATAACGCTGAGATATTTGCAAAACTCCGGACCGCAGGTGTCTGCGATGGGGAACGAACGCGCTATTGTCCTTTCCGGGGAGTAACGCGTTCACCACCACACCATGCGGGTCCTTTGTTTTGCCTGTCTCTCAGCTAACACCTGCGCCCACCATAACACCCCACCATAGACACCTGCGGTCCAGAGTTTTGCAAATATCTCAGCAACGTTGTGGTTCTATTTCGCTTAGTACCCTGCCGCGAAATTATAGTAGGCAGAAAATAAAAAGGTATAACATTATCTCAGCATCATTGAAGTTATATTTCGCAGTATACCCTGCTGTTAAAAAGAGTAGGCAGTAAATAATAAGTCAAAACTTTTCGATATAATTCTAATTTCGAAGCAGATAACCGTAGTACAGACTGTCCAACCTATTGTCAGCATGCCTCTTCTTAAATCAGGGTTTGGCAAGGTTTTCTTCTTTTGCCGATGTTAATACATTCCGGACAGGATTTATAGATTCCAGTGCTCACGTATCCAAGAATAACTTAGCTTTTTGAGTTTAGCGCAACACAACCGTATTGATAAAGGTGTTTATTCGGCTAAGTTTCGACGTATTCGTCTTCATCAGAGCCGGTGATCCGAGTCGATGATGCGCAGTCGTTCGTCTTCTTGATGTGGTATCTTTATCGTCGTGTCGAGTCGCGTCTTCTTCAACTGAGCATCTGCTCGTACGTGATAATCTCACGTGGCAGTGCTCTTTTGCGCAGGAAGATTGTCGTTCATACTGACTGTCCGTTGATAAGGGTTTGTTTTTCAATGAACAATTCATTCTCCAGCAGTCGGTATCAAGTTAGCTAACACACAGCGAACACCAAAGCAATAAAGCAATGGTTTTCATGCCAACCTTCATTTGACCTCGGCGTTAATAATCATTACCTTCTTTGATTATTCAGCCGAATAAATATCCGGTAACATCCTTGTGTTAACTCTGTTATGGTGCTCAAGGAGGTACCACTTATTCAAGAAGAAAAACTATTCATTTCCAGTTATCTCATTCGGTACGCGAACGTCTCAGCCTACCTATGCGCTGGTTCGACCCAATCTCATTCGTTACGGCGACGTCTCAACATACCTTTGCACTGGTTCAGCCCAGCTCCTGGCTAACTATGCCTCGCTTCCGCCAGGGTTGTGAATTCGGTACCAAACTAGTCTGGGACGAGCTGGCTGCATCCAATCCACGTGGGAACACCCCAGCACGACCACCTCAGGATTTCAGCGAATAACAACTCCACCAGCATTCAGCGACATTCGTGTAAAAGACGAAAACATCCTCAAGCATAAAATGTTGGAAGTGCTGGGATCTGCACGTTGCGATACATGTGATGTTGTTGTGAAATAAGCAAATAGTAAATGGAATCATTAGGATCAATCCCGCTGCCGGGTGATTGTTGATGGCACTGATCGATAGAGCTACCTGAGAGATAGGTGAAACGGAGGACCCGTATGGTGTGGTGGTGAACGCGTTAGTCCCCGGAAAGGGTAACAACGCGTTCGTTCCCCGCCGCAGACATCTGCGTCTGGAGTTTTGCAAATATCTCATCATCATTTAATTTATATTTCGCAACATACCTTGCCATTAAAAAGAGTAGGCAGTAAGCAATAAGTTGAAGTTTTGATTAGAACTATTAGTGTCTATATATTTTTGCCCATAAGATAAAAATTTTCCTATTCTGCCACGCTTCATATCACACACATCGTGCATTCAACACTGCATAGAAAACTAGAGTAGAATTGAAACACAGCCACTATGATGCTGAGATTTTTGCAGAACTTGGACCCCAGACCTGATTCGCACCCGCAGTTACACCTTCCGGGGAATCATGTGTTACCTACTGCACCACTGAAGCCTTTGCTTTGTCTTTCTCTCTTCCAGTTTCCTACCCAAAGATGCCATCAGCAGTCGCCTGTCAACAAAAATGATCTGGGGTGCTCATTTCGGCATTGAACTCATTTAAGCTGAAGCTGTAGTCGAAATCACAATCTTTACTTTTTTATTTACCTATTATAATATATTTGCCTATTGTTATTTGAGGGAAAGACAAAGCGAAGCCCTCAATGGTGGAATGAATGACAGTTGAGCCCCAGGAAAGAGTATTATCGGGTTCGAATCTGGCCTGGGTTCCTAGTTTTGCAAATATTTCAGCACTATAATGGTCACGTCATACCCTACCGTAAAAAACAATAATAGGCAGTAAGTGAAAAGTATACAAGAATAGGGTTGAGATACGAAACTCTGTCATATCCGGCATACTTTTGGTCCCTCGCCACTTAACCTTCGTTTTCTCAAGCATTTTGACGGGAACCTTGTCAAACCCTCAACTCTAAGCTGTTAGAGAATATCTAAATAAATTTTGCTATGACCTCATGTGTGTATTCGAAATTGAAACTGTTGTAAATGTTTAGTACTTGTATCTTGCAAAGGAGGTTTCGCTGCTTAGTCGAACACCCATGTTATTTTCATAGACATGACATGTCCATTTTTACAACATTAATATATAGATATGCTGCATACGTCACAACGAAGATGGTTCGCCACCAAGGCGCCCGAAACGCTGTCTCCAACATAGCATTTGTCCGTACGCGTTTCGCTGTTCCCGACCCTCCACGCATTACGAAGGCTGAAGCACTTGGAACTGAGGAAATTTTGTGAGTTTTTCATTCACTAAGCTTTTGTTCATTTATTATTATTTTCAGCAAAATTGTAGCTTTATAGCTGTAACCTCTTACAACATATTTGTTCGTGTGTTAAAAGAGCAGTGTCGTACCATATTCTCACAAAAATATATGGGTCGGTTCAAAAACACTTTTGTAATGTTTAAAAAAAATACTGCAACGTGTGCGAGCGCATTTAAGCGGACAAATGTTTCAGTCTTTGCGGCTGCATTTGCAGCAGTAGCTGTTAATGAATGAAATACGTATAGTTAGTCGAGCATAATACGATGAGCAACGAACTTGGTGTGTGCTAAGGGGGTATTCAGATTTTTTCGAGGTTTAATGATTACGTAGAAGCCGCGTTTAGCGCAGTGGTGAATGGTTCTCGACAATATACACAAAGCATGTGGTTCGAATCCGCAACCCAAACCCGTTATTCCTGTTGGATAGCCAACTTGCTCTTCAACACTTCTGGTAAAAGTGCTTTCTTGATTCATCTGTTGATTTTAAAAATGAGCTTTGGTGTTTTTTTCTGGAATGGTTACGCGCTCTTCTGCCTTGTCAAATACTTTGAGACCTTAAAACTTGGGATAATTTGGACGTTCACTTTCTAGATTTTTTTTGACTCATGTCCTAAGGGCGCAAAAGAAGGTTGAATTAATGTGTAGAATTTTAGGTTGGAATGGGACCCACCAGCGCAACCGAATGGGGATATTTCCCATTATGTGGTTAGTTGGCGAGCGATGAGTGATGCTTATATGAATCAGCATATGGGCGCCGCTGTGTGTCATGATGGTGAGGAATTTTGACTTCCATTTCATCAATCTCCAGTAGAGTGTTGATTTACTTCATTGCATTCATTGGTAATTAAAATAAATTGTTCTATTAATACTTTGAAAACATTGTTTTGGTTGAGAAAAAAAGAGAATTTAGCATTTTCAGATATCTCTAGAGGTCTCGACCTTTCGCTCGGTATCGTCAAAGGTCTTCGTGACCAAACAACGACGCCAGCTCCACGAGCCGTGTCCGTACTGATGGGTGAAAATGGCGACGTACAAACCGACACATGCCCGAGAAATGAGGGCTGCTGTAAGTGCACACCAAAGGTTGGTTGATNGGAGCCGTGTCCGTACTGATGGGTGAAAATGGCGACGTACAAACCGACACATGCCCGAGAAATGAGGGCTGCTGTAAGTGCACACCAAAGGTTGGTTGATTATTAGTGTTAGGTAGGGACTTTCCATAGAAAAGATTTTTTTGAAAATGGGGTTCATATGGATTGGGAGTTCGGCCACATAGTACTAAAGTAGCAACACAATTGTTCGTTGTGGTGCCAACGCTTCTCCTTCAGTGACATACTCCAATCCTGTTTCTAGCAAAATAATGTAAATCGTACCTATGTGACTGACAGGGTTAAACGCAGACCAAAAGCAATCTTGTACTTCCCTGAGACGCAGGTGCATCCAAGGGTTGGACACAACGTTTCTTCTGTTTCTTTTCTTTCTATACCTTTTCTGTTCACATGGACATGTTTACGCATGCGTGTATGGATGTGTTCTTTTGTATGCAGTTTGCTCCCTACGATATAATTCGGCCAAAGTCTGCAACCAAGTAACCCGGGGGTATACGGGAGGTTGTTAGACGTCTTCTTCGAGAAATAAGAAAATAAGTCGTACACAATCCTCTGGGAAAGTTCGACAAGCTACTCATGACCACGTGTAGCACCCATAAAAGGTTTCGAAAAGCTGCGCGTTGGTATGGATCACTAAGAAGTAAAATAGGCGGGATTCACTCCATTGATCTTGAAAGAGCCCCACATTAAGTAGCGTTGGTTAGGGCGAGTACAGAGGCTGTTAAAATCTCAGGGAAATTCTAGGCTGCCTGGCTCTGGAAGGTCAAGACTGAAGATACGTCTTTATTAATCATATGTAGTAGTACCTAAGTTGTCCATCGGAAACCTTACGATAAAAGCTTTAATTACAACGTTATTGAACTGGATGCGACTGGAAGACGCCTCACATTTTAACGCCGTTTGTTAAGAGTTTGCGGAGTTAACTTCCTCACCAACACAAGTTTGGCCAAGAACGTTAATTTTTTTGAACAAGTGATCACGCGATTCGGACGTTTATAGTTAGAAATATGTGGACCGAAATTGGCTTTGTTGGCCTTCATCATATACGCTCCAAAATTAGGCTATGGACTAGTGTGTGGTCAAAGCGTTCTATTTGAACGTATTTTTTAAAATTTTATACGAGCCGTCTTCATGTATAGTATGCGGATCTCAGCACTTTCCGCATTCGTTCGTTTCCTCGCATCTATCATCCGCGAAGTTTTCCCAACTTTCACATGTGGCTTCTGCTGCTACTTGAGGATTTTTCAGTGCATCCTGAATGTCGTAGAGTACTGCTGGTGGAGTCGATTTTTCCTGGAGTCCTGAGATAGCCGGATTGGAGCGTTCCAGAATGGATTTCAGAGAGTGATTTTCGATTAAGTTAGGTCTTAAGGGTATAAGAGTAGGAGGTTTGTTTTTAAATGCAGAAGTTGGAAGGGGCTTCGCATCGCCTTTATGATGTCGTGAATTAGAAGACCGTAATAGTCTCCCTCTACCGCTCAGACAGAAGTCGGTGTTTCTATTGCTGCACTACTGCCTTCAATAGGCACATCATGGTGTGTCCTTATGAAACCAGGGTGGATGCTTATCGCAGCGACTCTCCATTCCGATATCTAACATGTTTTCTTGTCGATGAAGATCCGTGCAATACCAACTTTGGGCAAGATCAAATCTGAACATTTGAATAGTTTGTCGCCAGTGGAACACTAATAAAATCATGTTGTCGCCATCCGTGAAAATAGAACTATCCATATACATTCTTAGTAACTGCCTTTGTTGCATTGATACGAGGTTATGTGTTGTTGTTGTTGTTGCTGTGGTTTGGTGAACTCGTCATCCCATGTGAACAATACCTGGGTGATCCCGTACGCAACAGCACAATTCTGAAGGTGGCAAAGTCGCCGAAACGTCGGCCATCAAACAACATTCGCAACATGCATAGGTGATTTATGTTGAAGTTTATAGATGTTCGGTCTTTTGAGTTTTTAATAAAATAAAAGTGTTTATTTTCTTAGCTGGGCCTGTAGAAAAAATCCATTGCATTGGATGATTAGACATCATATTTGAACATATGACCACCAAATCTTGAAAATGACATAATGGCAGCTATCACACTTCATTATTTATGCACCATAACCTTTAAAGCTTTGGGATGAAATTGCAAGGGTTGACATTTTACATACTTAGATGGTCAATCCTGTTTTCTTGGAAACGCAATTCAATAAAGAACCGGGTTCGTGTATGGTTCTGACGACAGAAATCTCTTTGGTTGAAATATGAATAATTCTTGAGCGTGGATTGTCTTATTATAATTAGACAGCCATGCTAGGTCATTGCCCCTTTTGTGTAGTAGGCATAGTTGGGTAAAGCATTCGGAAACACCAGCTAGTAAAACTCTCGACTCATCTTGAAAAGTTTTTCAAGTACTAAGAATGGGTGGGAGAATCACGTGACGTCACTTCTGAGTTACCCGTTGCAACTCGGATTTGTATACTAAGTTGAGGCAGGAATCATCATGTGAGCTCTGCGTTTTGGTTAAATTTGGACTAGGAAATTCAGTCGCATTCTTCAAGTTTCTTACTGTGGTCGGAAATGACCTCGTGATTTTGGACGGAGACATGACGTACAACGGACTTAGAAGTGAATCAGCTGTGACAAACGGGAACGAGTAAAAACTGAACTACAAGTAAATATTCGGTAGAAGTCTTTGCTCTATATTATAACTTATTAATTACAAGTGCGCTCCACTTCTGGTTTGTACATAGTTTTTGGTTGCTCGCATATTTCGAATCGCACGTAAGTTTTATTTTTGTAAATCGTCTTCATGATATTTCTAGGCTGCTTCCGCTGAATTCGATGAAAGTGTGGAGTCACAAACGGCTTTCGAAAACGCAGTGCATAACGTAGTGTTTGTCCAGAAGTGAGTTTGCTTGGTGATTTTCTTCGCTCTGTGTTGTTTTCAAGAGAATGAGATTGTTTTATAACAATTTCCGTATTTAGAGGGCTCTTTTGTCTTGCCATATGGTTTTCTGTTTCCATGATTGAAGGGCCTTGTTTTTATCGATATCATTTTTCATAGAGAATGTTCAAAGTATACCTGTGACTTAATCCTTGTACTACCTCGCTTCTTAACGTTGGTCGAGTGAAATATTTTAGTTTGAAAAATGAACCACTTTTCCCATCTCACATTTATTTTTTGAAAATTTTTTGAATTTAATGGAAGACCTTGTTTTTGTCATAGAATTCTGTCGAGAAACTCACTCAACTGTAATCTCTCTCTCTCTCTCACTCATTTTCTGCGCAGTGAAAATTACGGATTCACAATCCAAAATTCGCCAGAAAATAAGTTTTGATTTAGTTGTGCGCATAGTCACGATCCACTGCGGTGCGGCGGAGAAACGGTCGACGATATCGTTGTGCTTGCAAATGATGATATCGGAAATTTCAATTCGAGCTTTCATAGTCGAAATCAACCAGAGACGACGAGCAATCGTCGTATTCGTCGTCACGACAACGGTGGAAGGCTTTTGATGTGGGAATAATTGATACAAATGTTATCTCAAAGTTTCCGTCTCTGAGTTTTCCAGTATGGTTCGACTGTCTAGCTATCGTCGACTTAATTTTTTCTCGGTGTTGTGGCGCCTTCAATATACCCAATATACCCGGTTGTGTCAAACTACTTCTGCATTTCTAGCCTATATCACTGCACATTCCAGTGGTTTCAATTTTCTCATATTGGGCTAATAGCCATTAGACTTTCCTGTTGTGTTGTGCATTAGCGCAGGTGCTCTATCATCAGAAACATCCTCGTCAAGCGAAAATTTCTAGCATATTTCGTCTCACGAATTGCAGATCCAGTGTAGAGTGTCAACTTTGTGTTGTCATTGTTTATAACCACACTGTAATGCTTTTGCACTGTGATAATTTTAGGTTTAGTTGCGAATGTGGAAGGTTTTATTCTTTCTTCTCTTCTATTTGTGTTGTCTCAAGCAGTGCAAAAGAACTTGAAATTACTCTTAATTATAGGAGAGAGTTACCTCGGCAACGTCGTGCCGTAATCACTCATTCTCAAACGAAAGATGATTTTTCTACAAAAGTTGACGACGTTGGGGAGAATGAAAATGTTAGTGCAATCTTTGATTTTTCGTTACTAGTTAAAAGATTGAAAAGGCTTTTAGATGACAAATATGCTTGAATCTATGAAGAGCGACACAATCATGGAGAATGTGACAGCGACTTCATTTATTATTAAAGGCCTGAAACACTACACACGTTACTTTGTAAGTTCATGAAATTGAGGTGGTGTTGTGTGTTAAAAGCAGTAGTGGTTCACGGCGTTGATTACCTTGGAATTCACATCACATTCATGTTCCATCCCTTTCGATTTACAAGTGGTTGGACCTTTGTAGAGAGAGATCCACCTAACCTTATCGACGACATCGATCACTGAAAAATAGTAGAATCGTATTTACAGGTGCAAGTAACCGTATGCCAGGATCCGACTGCACCGGAAACCCATTGTTCTACCAAGAGAGCATGGCAGTACGTCCGAACTAAGTCTATTGGTACGGAATCGGTTTATTTTTTATTAGGTCATTTCTTTAATCTACTTTTTTTTAGTCGACGCAGATAGAGTCGATAATGCTACTATTAACGTTGAAGTGCTAAACGGAACGTCAGACATTAGAATCACATGGC